CGTAACGAATTCAACGATAAATTAGTCACGATGGTTTCCAGGGGGAACCGCGTGGAGGTCGACAACAATATCGATATTGATAGCAATGGGGACTAACCTCTCCATTACTAACAATCTTCCCCACCCCCTCCAATCCCTCCCTCCGCCACTTAGTACTGGGTGACCTCGACGAAATTAAGTGATTACTTTAATAGGTAGGGAGAATGAATGCAAAGGGTATGGGATCGAAATCTTTGTAGCGAAATACAAGAGACATCTATGTCCAGCAGTAGACGACACATGGCTTGCATATAAACATGATAGATACTAAAAAAAATAAACAAATAACTTTTGTAACATTATGGTACAGACTATGGGAGACTTTGTACAAAAGTCGATTGCTTGGGTACCTCTGTCCCATTCGTGTTTCAACCGTGAAGCAGTTGTGTTTGCATAGCTGTGTTTCGGTTTGAAGGGTGGGATATGGCGTGAATTTACTGGGTACAGAGGAATAACATCTGAATCCTCAGGAATGGCAACGCATGGCGGGTATCATGGGCGAAACATTATACTCTGTTATGTGCATGGTACTGCTCATGTCTATAGGCGACGGTTACCACTTTCCATCAGGTGGGCCGTCAGCTTGTTTGCCATTTTAAGTTGTATAAAAAAAATTACATCTTCTTCAACTCTTTATGAGTAGATACAGACATATCTCTCCCTTGCACTCTGACCATTGATCGACACACACACACACAAGCCATAGTGTAAACCTGCTGGTTTTAATTTCAATCAAGAATTTGAAAATTTCGACTTAAGTTTTAAGACTTTTGAAAAAGATAAAGGTTAAAAAAAAGGGTTTCATAGCAATTTTTTTTTTAGAAATCCCACGGGAATGTGAATGACAATGGGAATGACAAGGTCATGCGGACAACACCGGAGGTAACAGTTAGTTCTAGTTAATCACAATTATCCATTCCAGTCATCGTTTCAATGATGGATATCAGTGGATTGCTGATGACAATCACGTACAATCCAGAACATGGCTTGATCTATCAAATCAACTATCTCAAGGTCATCAAATTTGTAGTGATTCAGTGACCTTGAGATAGTAGTTTAGAGGTCATTTCCATAAACGCCAGTTTTTTTTCCTGTGGGATATAAACCGAAAATCCGCGTGTCTGCCTCGACTTTCGAGACACGGAAGTACGTAGGCTTCATGGGTCAACAACCTGCCGGTGGAAGTTTATTCTGGCTTGGTTGGCGAGGTGGGGCCGAGTTATAGCGAGTCGACAAGCGGAGCCGACAGCGACTACGGTTTTATTCTGATCAGACTATTAAAGAAATAAGTACATGCTGAACTCCACAAGGAAAGGTAGAAACCGTCGCAGTTAATCCTTGATAAATTCAAGATGGACCAACAGACTCGCTTTCATCCTAACCTGTTGTTTCTCATTGAACATTAGTACATTATGAATCGTTCAAAAAATATGCTATGCTAAATTTATAACTGTCTACTAACATTTCTTTCACTATTCATACTGGAATCTAACGTGTTACCGGAAAAGTCTTCGACTATTTTTCGGTTTGACTGAGTACTTTTATAAATTTGCTTAAACTTATAACACGGCATAGTTTTATTGTAAAGATGTAGAAAAAAATACTGTTTAAAAGCGTCATATTTTGCATTCACATCTGTTATTATTAGGAAGACAATTACTTACATTTGCATTACATAAAAATGTACGAAGACAGTTTTATTGCCCTTTTTTTAATACCAGAGGGAGACTTTGTACAAAAGTCGATTGCTTGGGTACCTCTGTCCCATTCGTGTTTCAACCGTGAAGCAGTTGTGTTTGCATGGCTGTGTTTCGGTTTGAAGGATGACGTGAATTTACTGGGTACAGAGGAATAACACCTGAATCCTCAGGAATGGCAACACATGGGGGGGTACCATGGGCGAAACAATATACTCTACTATATCAATGGTACTGCTCATGTCTATAGGCGACGGTTACCACTTTCCATCAGGTGAGCCGTCAGATTGTTTGCCATTCTAAGTTGTATAAAAAAAAAAACCATATTACGCGCACGTTGCCGACCCTGAAGAAACCTCTTTATCTCCCTTTTGAAGAACCCCATGCTGTAGTCTCTTAGGAAAACCTCGGCAGGGAGCTCATTCCATAACTTGAATGTTCGTGGGAGCAAACATCTCTGAAACCGCGTTGTACGCGACCATTTCAGCTATAGGGTATGAGGGTGAACTTTCTGTCGATGGCAAACCATACGATTATTATATGCCCTATTATAGCAGACTCATTATACCTGTAGTCTTTGATTACAATAACGATAAAGTCATGCTAGGTAAATATATTTATTATTTTTACTCATTATTTATTAATTAAACACAGAAATATACAACATGAGTACATTGGACCCCGCGAACTGATATTGCAGGAGTCCATAAAGGATTATCAAGACACAGTGTTTTACAAATATAGATCAGTGAGGCAATTTTATGGAAACAAACATGTTATATGTACTACTAATACTACTTCCTCTTTACTACTACCTCTTTACTCCCAGTTTACTACTACTCATATACTACTAACATTATAAATGCAAAATATTGTAAAGATGTTTGGATGTGTGTGTGATATATGTTTGTTACTCAATCACGCTTAAACGGCTGAACGGATTAACATGAAATATGGCACACGGGCAGTTGATATCCTAAGTAAACATATGGGGTAATTTATATACTGATTTATACTACTAAAGCTGTAAAAAACAGCTATAAACAATTATAAAAGTGCTTATTACGTCGTGATTATTTATCACTAAAATATCATCGGAAGGAAAAAAAAAAATTAAAATAATACAAAATGTTGGTCAATTGAAACTTATCTTAGGAGTCTTATAAGTGAAGAGAAAACTTTAAATAGAACTTTATGTTACAATAAATAAGCAATTTCATACATATAATAAAGATACAATTTTATTAAACGTAAATATAATGCAAAATCACGAGAAAACTAGACTAAACTATGTACTACATTTTAACAACAATATTTTATAACAATCGCTAGCAAAGCGACCCCACCCAACTTACAGACGGTCGCGCGACGGAAGACCTCGGCTCGCCGTCTCTCTCGCACTATTGGCACTATCTACCGTCTCTTTCTAACACGTTGTAAACGGAAAGGACGACCTTTCTCAAACGTACGTTGCTACTTGATAGTGTGGGACACGGGACTGACCTGATAATCCAAGTAAGACCAGCTTGCATCATCCTAGACGTTTTATCAAATGTATGAAATTTCATTAGTAACCGGCTGCTTTATTGGTTTTCACTGGCGAGGTTGGTGTCAGATAGGCTAGTTTTTTTTATTAATGAATGATAATGGAATGGTAACCCCACCTGCGCTAACAGTCTACACTGGCAGGGCACCAGTGAGGGACGATAGGTGAGGATGAAAAAGCAGGTCAACTAGCCTATCGTGATTTTTTTTTTGAGTGGTGAAAATGGTATGGTAACCCCGCCTGTGCTAACGGGATACGCTGGCGGAACACCAGTGAAGGGTGATAGATGAGAATGAAAGCAGGTCAGTTAGCCCATCATGATGAATTCATCAGAAATTAACCATGATAGTTTCCAGGGGGAACCGCGAGATCGATTTGGTTGCGTATATTGCTAACAATAGGATTCTCAGTCTCCATTACTAACAATCCCTTTCCCCCCAGCCCATGATGAATACACCTGGAGTTCAGCACGATGGTTTCCAGGGGAACCACGTAGAGGTCGATCTGACGGGGTATATTGCTAGCAATGGGACTGGTAGTCCATATTACTAAATCCCTTCCCGGAGTTAGACTTTGGAGATGTTTTAAGAGGGACGCTGCTGCCCATTCCTTGCCCTCCCTTAGTCGCCTCTTACGACACCCATAGGAGAAAAAGGGGTGGCCTATTCTACGCCGGGACCACAGGGTATAATTGAAATTGAATTTTATAGACTGTGCTAAGTCGATCGATTTTTTTTTATAATATTAAAAATGGCAACACATGAAGGGTACCCTGAGGAGGAATATTATGCCTTCGTAACCTGCCTTAATTTCATTGCCATATCTCACCTTTCAAACCGAAGCAGTAATGTAGACACAGTTACTTTACAGCAGAGACACAGGTGGGCCAGGTATATACTCAAACAACTTTTACACAAAGACTGGTGGGTCAACTGGCCTGAGATTTAGTAATATAGACTACCAGTCCCACTGCCAGCAATATACCCCGTCAGGTCGACCTTCACGTGGTCATCCCTGGAAACCACGATGGGCTAACTTACCTGCCTTCTAATTCAAACCTGTCAGCCCTGGGGGGAAGGGATTGTTAGCAATGGAGTTTGACAGCCCCATTGCTAGCAATATGCCCTATCAGGTCAACCTCCACGTGGTTCCTCCTGGAAACCATCGTGAACAATTCTCGTTGAATTCGTCACGATGGGCTAACTGAGCTGTTTCATCCTCACCTCACTGGTGCCCCGCCGGTGTATACCGATAGCGGAGGTGGGGTTACTATTTCATTATCACCTATAAAAAAAACCTGTCAGCCCTCACTGGTACCCCCCTTCCCAGCGTAGACTGTTAGCGCAGGCGGGGTTACTATTTCATTATCATCCATTAAAAAAATCTGGTATCTCCCTGTTATTTTCCAATCCAGCATTTCAAACAGAAGTCTGAGAAAAACCGTTGCAAGCAGCTGTTTGGAGGTATCGAATCGTACGAATTCGTACACGAATCGAACAGAGTAGTCCATGAAGACAACTTTGTAAGTCTGTCTGGAGTCTAGACGTCTGGCCGCTGGAGGCTTCACAGCCTCCTTTGCAGATCGATCTTCATGGAATTTCACAGGAATATCATATGAAGGTGATCAGTACCTAGGTATCTTAGCTACTTTAGAATTATGTAATTCTTAGTATTTACTATTTTAAAAATATTGCATTGCTTTTATAAAAAAAACTTACCAAATGTAATGTCCAGGGGCTTCGACAGCTGTTACCTAAAAAATAAAATAATTATGTTTAATAATGCATGTCTTGGCGGTTTTTTATTATTGTATTTTTTTTTTTATACAACTTAGAATGGCAAACAATCTGACGGCCCACCTGATGGAAAGTGGTAACCGTCGCCTATATACATGAGCAGTACCATGGACATAACAGAGTATACTGTTTCGCCCATGATACCCCCCATGCGTTGCCATTCCTGAGGACTCAGGTGTTATTCCTCTGTACCCTGTAAATTCACGCCATATCCCACCCTTCAAACCGAAACACAGCCATGCAAACACAACTGCTTCACGGTTAAAACACGAATGGGACAGAGGTACCCAAGCAATCGACTTTTGTACAAAGTCTTCCTCTGGTAAGTATGAGAGTGAAATCCTTATCATTACGTATATTCTTCATATTAGCCTTTACTGTCCACTGCTGAACATAAGCTTCTCCCTTGGGGAGTTTTGCCAGTAGTTGCCACGCTTGGCAGGCGGATTAGCAACCGCAGTTAGGCCTTTGGGGATGTTTTAATAGGGACGCTGCTGCTCATCCCTCCACCATAAGTTCCCTTAGTCACAGGAAAAGAAGGGATGGTCCATTCTATGCCGGGACCGACACGGCGGATTTACTAATATTATAAATGTGAAAATGAGTTTGTTTATTTGTTACCTCATGGGCTTTTAACGACTTAAACAGTCACTATGAAATTTTGTATACAGTTTCTATATAGAATGAATAAGGACATAAACTAATTTTTATTCTGGTCACGCGGACGAAGTCACTGGTAAAAGTTAGTATCTATAATAAAACTTTAACGTCTTGGACGTTTGACTATCGAGAAAATTATATAAACAATAAATAATAATAACAAAATATACATAAAATGAAAAGGGACTAAAATAAAAAAATAAATACATAGATTCCCGCCAAAATACCCAAATATTTTTTTTTTTTCACTTCATAGATAGAGCATAGAACATAATAAATAAACAGCCATAAAAAAGTGGCCAGTATTTACAAGGTGTCATCATAGAAAAAAATATGAGGCCAATCCTGTACGCGGCAACGGACCAATCTCGCAACAGCCCTACCACATTTTATTATCTATTCAAACATATCTCTAGGATAGGTAACCGGCAACCGGTTTGGGGCCCTTTTTTCCTCCTATTTTAAAAGCCACCAATAACTGCAGAGGCCACAGGTAGGGCCAAACCTGCGGCCGAACTATGTTCGACATAACACACATATTTATACAGTTGTAAGTATATTATTTATACAGTTGATAGGATCGCAACCATTTGTGCTTTTCCAATATGACCTACATGCAAGGTCGGATTTGTATGTCAGTCTTGCACGTAGGTTTGCTCGTGTTTACGGTATTGTATGGTATTTACGTGTCCAATCGTCTATTTGTGTGATACCCTCTTATCCTTATAATTTACTACATAAGAATAAAATAAAATAATAAATAAAAAAAAAATGCCGCCATATATAATTTCCCCGTTTATTCATATTCGTTTAGATCTATCGTAAATAATTTATTTTGATTAAATAAATAAAAAAAAAAAAAACTAAGATATTATGTAGATAAGTAGAGACAATCAACATAATATTTTTATACTTTTTCCCAATTTTTTCCCAAACTTCCTTGAGAATACTTCAAATCATATTAATATACGTACATAATAATTTTATTCATGCAGTTTCGTTACAGATTCTTAGGAATGTCATTTTAATATCTAAATTCTAATTTCAATTTTTGTTTTTGATTTCTTTTTTTTTTTACAACACAGGGGGCCAACGAGCATGCGGCTCACCTGATGGTAAGTGACTACCGCCGACTTTTTAATTGTACTGTAGCATAGTGGATCACTCAAGCCAATGGTCTGGAACTGGTCTGGAATCTGAGATTTTGAGTTTTGTCCTGGTATATTTACTACCAGGAACTCTTAGGTAAAAACATGACATCTTATGGAGAAAGAAATTAATTTTAACATTTAAATTTACATCTTTTTTTTTTTACAAAAATACATCTTTGTATTTTGTTGATGTTAAAAACTTTATTTTACAATAATTATAATTCCTTACTAATTAAATTTAAAAGTGAATTGGTTCGTTTTTTTGTTATAAGGTATTTATATATACCAAATTTTAAAATGATAACCTGAGTCCTCAGGAATGGCAACGCATGAGGGGTATCATGGGCGAAACAGTACACTCTGTTATGACCACGGAACCGCTCATGTCTATAAGCGACTGTTACCACTTTCCATCAGGTGGGCCGTCAGCTTGTTTGCCATTCTAAGTTGTATAAAAAAATAAAATAAATAAAAAAATTGATATTTGGTATACTACACGTACAATTTATTTATTTAACTCTTTATTGCACCATAAATAAAAATATACAATGACAAGTGAATAGTTCAAGTGAAATACAGTAACATAAATACAGATTGAAATGTACACATAAAGGTACTATATGTGATGGAGAAGGATGTAAGCTATTTTTTTACCCCGATTAGTATAAACATAGCTCGGTCGCGAAGACGAAGTCGCGGGTAATAGCTAGCATATTATATAAAACAGAATTTGTTAGTTTAACTGTAGATTTAAACTGTAGATTTGAAGGGATATGACAGTGAAATTGCCTACATGATACGAAGGCATAACACTACAGTCCTCGGGAATGAGTATCACAGTGTATTCTGCGACGTCCATGCTGCTGTTTACGTCTGATTCTTATAAAAAACCCGGTCAAATGCGAGTCGGACTCGCACAACAAGGGTTCCGTGCAAAATCATCAAGATTAATATTTTTTCTTTGTAAAATAATCGCAAATTTACGGTTTTCGTATTTTTTTTTTCTTTTACTTGTGCCACGAAATTTTATGATACTAGGGCAACGGGAAGTATCCTACAGGTTTTAGTTCTCTTTGCGAATGTTAAAATATGCGATATATCCTGGCCCGTCTGCACCCACTTACTCTTTGCAACTTGACCATTAAGATATAAAAATATATTGTGAATTTACATAATCGTCCAAAGATACGAGTCGGGAGGGACCGCTCGGAAATTACTGCAAAACGCGTAATCCGCCCGAAATAAATATCGCTGCCAGCCAACCCTGTGGCAATGTGTGACGTCACAGTGTCAATGAACCGCGGCTGGCACACTTTTCCGCGGTATCGTGAACACTACACCTACAAAATGCATGCCAGTACGATGCAACAAGAAATCACCCATCAGTATTACTTACCAGAGGGAGACTTTGTACAATAGTCGATTGCTTGGGTACCTCTGTCCCATTCGTGTTTCAACCGTGAAGCAGTTGTGTTTGCATGGCTGTGTTTCGGTTTGAAGGGTGGGATATGGCGTGAATTTACTGGGTACAGAGGAATAACACCTGAATCCTCAGGAACGGCAACGCATGGGCGAAATTGGTACTGCTCATGTCTATACGCGACGGTTACCACTGTCCATCAGGTGAGCCGTCAGCTTGTTTGCCATTCTAAGTTGTATAAAAAAATGTATGAACTTTGATATTTTTGTAAGATTCGAGGTAACTCGACTCATTGAAACTGCGCAGAGATGTTGCATCTCTGTGCATCTTCTACCGAATTTGTCATGGGGAGTATTCTGAAGAATTGTTCGGATTGATACCTGATTCTGTTTCTCGAATCGCCACTTTGAAGTTAGGTAAAGTTTTCTATGATCTAGATTTACGATTCTCAGATACAAGTGGCTACATTTAAGCTAGTAAACACACTTCGATTCAACCGTTCGATCACAGTTTTTTTTTTAATACAACTTAGAATGGCAAACAAGCTGACGGCCCACCTGATGGAAAGTGGTAACCGTTGCCTATAGACATGAGCAGTACCATGGATATAACAAAGTATACTGTTTCGCCCATGATACCTCCATGCGTTGCCATTCCTGAGGACTCAGGTGTTATTCCTCTGTACCCTGTAAACCCTTCAAACCGAAACACAGCCATGCAAACACAACCGTTTCACGGTAAGAACACGAATGGGACAGAGGTAGCCAAGCGAACGACTATTGTACAAAGTCTCTCTCTGCTGTGCGTGTACCATGTCTATATTATGTGTACTGTTCTAATGAACTATATAAATAAATAAATAGATCCCACACTGTTCAGTTTCTTCAATTCTGCGGATGAGATTCTTCATTATGAAGAAAGAAACATACTAGTATATTTCTTCACTTCTCCGCTATGGATACAGCATATTTATGCAAAACTAATAACCTCTTATTGTTGAATAGAAAATATACCTATCCGGCCAGTTACAGTGGAATAAGTCGATAAGATAAGGGTGATAAGAGATTAAGTGTGATAGAGGGGCGCCGAGGTGTCTCACGTAGACACCGTTTCATGAATTGTATCTAGGCTACAATTTTATACATGTATTTAATTTTATTATTTTAAAATAGACGTGGATTATAACAGGACAAACATATTATTACTGTCACTGTTACGCAATAATAACAGGTACCAATAGCTGTTATTAAATAACAGGTGTTATTTTTTTCAACCACGGCCCTTTAGGAAGGAAATAACATACAAATATGTGGTTAAGAGTACTAGAACTATTAGTTGCATCTCGTTTTAACAACAGTGTACACAATGGGTGTGAGCGAGATAGGCAAATTAATCTATAAAATAACTATTAACACGAACTAATTAAAGAGTGACGTTTCGAGGTTAATTATAAATGAATTTTTTTAACAGATATAACGACATCGCAAGAACAACTGTTATCTGTTATCTTCGAATACTTGTGATTTATATCTGTTATGATAAATACGCCTCACTGCTAATTTAAAACATTATAGTAGAAGGTTTATTTATAATGAAAATGTGGTATGGTAATCTAGTCTGCGCTTCACTGTACTAATGATGGGCAACTAATGAGTATCTATAGGTTTTTTTTATACAACTTAGAATGGCAAACAAGCTGACGGCCCACTTGATGAAAAGTGGTAAC